AACAAGGATCAAATATCAAAAGAAATCAAGTGAAAATCATGTTCAAGATGTTAGCCATAATGAAATGGTAATATCTCTCAATCCGGAAGACAAAATTTAATACATAATATATGAAAATTGTCTATCTCGACGAGACGGAGCTAACTGTGTTTTTAGAATTTTTGAATTCCAATCGATCGGCCAACCGATTGGCCGACCAATTGATCCATAACAAACTCATTTTATGGCTAAGATTTGATCCTTAGAGACCAATTAAAATCCAATAGTTCTCATTCATTGTTGTACGCTATAAATAGGGGTAGTGGGTGAGGGGTTTGAGTGTAAATTTTTTTATAAAAACTCCATTTAGAGTGGAGGATTAATCTTAATTGAGAAGAACTTCCAAAATTATAACTTTTTATTACAATTAATAAAATAATTTTTTCACCTCTTCATATTTTTCTTTTCTTATCTTTATTTGATGATGAAGATGAAGATGAGATGAAGATGGCCCGGCCGGTTGGGAGGTTCCAATATGATTCTCATAGTTTTGGGTTTGATTTTGGGTTGGGTTATCAAAATAAATAAATAACATCTACAGTCCTAGTCGACATGCAACAATGATATGAGCTTCAGAGCTTGTAGTATTATGTAGTAGATCATTAATGCACAAATTTCCCTAAATCACCTAGAACAGATGTTTATTGTGTTTACAAAGCAATAAATATGTCACCGGGTTATCTAATGCATATATTTGCATGTACTTACCTCATCGATAACACTTCCTTTTCTTGCAATTGTTTTGAACCTTCTGTTGTATATTTGCAGAAATGATGCTTTCACAAAAACATGCATGCGTTAACAATTATGTTCTTAGTTGTATATGCCAATATCTTTGGTTGATGCACATATAGGAAGTTACGGGTTTACTTTGTCTCACTTTTTCAAAATGAATTATTTTCTGATATTTTCTCTATTTTCCAGGTACATAGCTCTGTGTATTTAACTTTCAGCTTGGTGAAGGATAGTAGCTTTCTGAATGTATTATTTGTGGGTGCAAGCACGAAGGAAGACTTAACCAAAGAAATCGGTATGCCTAACTTCAAATAATGCTTATGATTTTACCACATGTTATGACACGCTCAGGATAAATTAATATTAATCACACGAAAATGCAAAAAATACTGAGAACATAAATAATACATAGATATACATGATTCGATTTGTAGCCTACGTCCACGGGCGAAGGAGGATAGTTTTACTAACAATTTGTGAGGAATACAATGTGCACATCTCTCAATCACTCAACCCCTAACACATCCCAAAAGCCTAATACATCTCTCTCAAACAAAGAAATAAAAAGAGAGAAAATATTAAATAGGTTTCACAAGAGAACTCTTTGCTCTTGATTGGTGCTCTACAGATTGATAATAATAATTAGCTTGAAAGATTGTATTGTTAGATATCATGTCCTCAAGATATAATTTTGATGATAACAATTTATTCATTATGTATATCTATGTGTATTATTATGCACTAACATATCAATGCAGCTTTCAACATCAAATATGAACAAGTGCAAGATGAGTTCAAGGCATCATGAAGTAAAAAAGATGAAGAGCTTATACATCAATGTAAATTTTACATTTTCTTTACTTAGAAATTTTGTACAAGCCTTGATCACTCGCATATACACACACATAGAGATTAGAACACACTAACATATACTTAGTGTGTTGGTTAACAATAGAAATCCCCTATGTTAACCATTAGAGTTTATAGCTTATCAATGAGTCTAAAAATATTCCATTCAAATTAATTTTTACCCCTTAGTAGTCGACCAATAAGACTTGTAGTCGACTACTTACGTTCATATCAAAAATATAAGTCTCTGTGAAATTACAGTCTAGTCGACTAATGACTTTTTATAGTTGACTATTAAACACTTAGGTAAAATCTCAGTTTCTGTAAAGTTACAGTGTAGTCAACTACTAGACTATATAGTCGACTACTAAAAGTCATTTCAGAATTTTTAACTTTCTGTTGTATTGTAAAACCCCGTATTTTTGTTAGAAGTATATGTGAATTAGTGATGATAGAAATTCTAATATGATTAATGACTTGAGGTCATAGATACACCTGATAACAAGTCATCAGTGGTGTAGGAGTGTATTTTTATGGAGTCTTGTGCATTGGTTTTGGCAATTTAGCAAAACATGCACGAATCTAGAAAATGCCGGTTTAGTCGTCTCATGAGTCGACTTATGAGTCGACTAATGAGTCGACTTATGAGTCGACTAATGAGTCGACTTATGGGCAGATTTCTAGATTCTTTTTCTTTTTCGGATTTGGTTTGGTTTTGTTTCGGGTTTGACCGCTTATATAAAATCTATTCTACCCGAAACCAACCCAAAAGACCGATCAGAATCCTAGAGAAACCCTAGCCCCTCTCTCCCCTCAAACCCTAGTTTGTTTTTTGTGATTTTTGGGGATTTTCAGAGGATTTCAGCTGATTTTGGCGAGGTGCAGCATAAGGGATTTGTCTCTCTCGGATTCAGGAGTTTGTCAGCATATCAGAGGCGAGTAACATCTCGCCCAGCCCTACACCCACTGTTTGTATAGATTTTTTTGGTTTTATTTCGGATTTATTGAGCCTAAATCATTATTTTACGTATAAAATATATCCCTATGGCATATGATGCAAGAAATCAGATGTTTCAGTTAATAAAAAACTCACCAACATTTTTAAAATATAGATCCAGATCTGGAGTTAGTTTTAAACATGGTTTTCTTGTGATTCTTTGTTTTCAATATGTTTTTAAACATGTATAAATATGATTAGGGTTCTACTGTAAATGATTATATGCAAATCTTTCGTTTCTGTTGATACACATGTGTTAGAATCGGATATATAATGCTGGACATAATGAAGAGAACTTTAGATTTAAGTTTTTGTAGAAAATCAACGAAGACAGAAAACTGGAAAAATTTCTGCTCAATCGACCAATGAGTCGACTTATCAGCCGACTTATGAGTCGACTTATGAGTCGACCAATGAGTCGACTGACGGGAAATTTCCAGCCTTCTTTCTTGTCTTTTGTTTTGGCTGGTCGACCAATGAGTCAACCAATCCAAGTCGACTAATGAGTCGACCGATGATCCCAGTCGACTCATGAGTCGACTGACGAGGAAATTTCTAGTTTTTTCCTCGTTTTGGATCTGTTTGGGTTGTTTTGTTTTAATCGAAATTGTTTTGGCATGTTTACTGTTATTGCGTACATCTATATGAGCAAGGAGTCACCTCGGATATCTGATATTAGAATTTATGTTTATTTTATATCTCTACACGTGAGATGATTTGCGGACACGAGTTTAGGGTTGCATACCGAGACATGTGAGGCATTAGTATCTCTACACGTGAGATGATTTGCGGACACGAGTTTAGGGTTGCATACCGAGACATGTGAGGCATTAGGGTATATGCATCTTTCATATATTTCATCTAGTCCATGTGTTGGGCTATTATGATGTGCAGTCCACGTGTTGGACATTTTTCACATTCAGTCCATGTGTTGGACAACTTTTATATGCAGTCTATGTGTTGGGCATTCATTACATCTAGTTTTAGTCCATGTGTTGGACATCAGTTTAGACCTTGAAATTTACACCTATAGTTGCATAGGATGGACATGACACTTATATAGGTTGTGATACGACCTGGTATTTAAGTTCTGAGATGAGGTTGTCTTCTTTCATTACTATTCATGTGTTAGATTTTGGATTTTTTTATTTAGGGATTTACAATTTGAGATACAATGTATGTACATGAGGGTTTCCTTGTTTTGATTATTTCGCTCGACGTACCTATGCTTGTGTTGTAATTTCCTAAATAATAAAATCCTCTTATTCATAGGTATTTACAATTTGAGCTATATGGTATATACATAAGGGTTTCCTTGTTTAGATTATTTCGCTCGACGTACTTATGCTCATATTGTACTTACCTAAATAGGATCAGTGATTTTCTATATATATTATAACTGTATTTTCTGTATACAACGAGCCCTTTTCCTTGGGGTTGGTTGTGATGTTGCTCGCTAGCGCTTTGACGCTCATTGTCCCCCCCCCCCTTAAAGGTAACGAGCTAGGTCCGCGGAGAGTCCCAGGTTGATTGGGAGGCACTTTAGCTTCAGCTATTCTATTATAGTTATACTTTTCTTTTGAACTCCACTGTAGGCTTTTGTTTAGACATTTTAAGAGTTTATTTCTAGAAGTTATAAAGGATGTGTGCCTTATTTCCTATTATTCAGACTTTATGTATTCGAGACTTGTTGAAACATCAGTTTATTCATTTCAGGCATTGACTTCTATTTCCGTATGTTGGATGATGAAATATCAATTTGATCATTATCATTTCATCAGTTATCTCTTGTATTTATCTTTTACTTGCTTTGTACCTACACCTGTTATTGACTCTTCTAGAGAGATAGTAAATGTGATGGTGAAACATGTTATTGCACGGTATGGTGCATGGCAGGTTTGACATTCTTGGTTTCACCTTGGACTACAGCCTTGCGTGAATCCAGGGGCGTCACAGTTGGTATCAGAGCTCTAGTTTTAGTATCCTTAGGATCATCCTGTATCGAGTCATGGAGCTAGGATAAAGTTTCTTAGGATTCATGTATAGAGTATGAATGAGGACGATATATGCGTATATCTCAAAATTTGAGGATATTTTTTTTGACAACTATTTTTTTGTGTAAATTTAAATTATTTGTGTGAATACTAAATTATTGTGAAAATCATATTGTGATATGCTATGTATGTGTATATGTCTATTTTGACTCATAAATTCTCATTTTCTTATGATCAGAGAGATGGTAGGACGTGATAGACCTCGTACTCGGAGAGCTGGACAGGCAGAGTCGTAGCAGGCTCCACCTGAGCCACAGCAACCCCCCCCGGAGCCACAGCAGGCACCACCTGAGCCGCAGCAAGCTCCCTAGTACTTGATAGACCTTATGGCTCCCATCGTAGATAGGATGGCAGCAATTGAGCAGCATGTGGCGAATCATATCGCGGCACCAACACCACCACCACCACCACCAGATCAGCCACAGAAGATACCAACCGTTCCTATCAGCGAGAGACCCCCAGAGACCGCACCTACAGCTATTCCACCAGCAGTCTCGGACATAGCCACAGATCAGGAGGCCTGGCTCCGTATGGTAGAGAGGTACCAAAAGATGAGAGCACCAGAGTTTCAGAGGTCATCAGACCCTCTTGCAGCCCATAAGTGGAAGGAGGATGTGAGTAACACCCTCGATATACTTAATATGGATTCAATACAGAAGCAAAGATTGGCATCCTACAGTCTGAAGGGAGATGCCGGGAGATGGTATCGACTCTAGTTCACTCCAGAGCACCGGATGACCCTCACATGGGAGGACTTTGTTTATTTCTTCGATGGACAGTATATTTCTTCTGCAGCACAGGCGGGGAAGGAGCTTGAGTTGTCCCGATTGACACAGGAGGATATGTCAGTGACAGATTTTGAGAGCAAATTCATGGAGTTGCTGCACTTCACGGGTATGTGGCTGACATGAGAGCGACAGGCTCAGATGTTCCTAGCAGGTCTCCGCCCTAATCTTCGTAGATACCTCATCTCGAAGAAGTTCTATTCAGTACAGGAGGTAGCTGAGGCCACCACTTCTCAGGAGATTGAGACTGTCATGTTCCAGAAGGATAAGGAAGGAAAGACCAAGGTAGGACAGACTGGGGATAAGGGGAAGAACAAGAGATCTTTTTCTGGATCCCAACAACAACAGCAAGGTACTCATAAGAATGGACCCCAGCATGATCAGAGAGCGCATCAGCAGTGCAAGTTCCAGGGAGTTTGCTATAACTGTCGTAAGGTCAGGCATAAGGCGTCAGAGTGTCGCAGCTCACCGGTAGGAGCTCAGTAGGGCAAGGGCCTGAACCAGTAGTAGCAAAGACTTCAGGACAGAGTCTAGGGCTAGCAGATGAGACTTGATGCACCGCCAGTAGCTCAGAAGACTGAGGGACAAATTCATGTAGTTCAGGAGGTTTCTCAGGGGCAGATAGTTCTATATTCTCCAGCACTAGCAGCAGAGCAGACTCCAGCCATAGGCAGAGTATATGCGGTATTACCGCATGATCATGGAGCTAGCGGAGCAGTAGTGGAGGGTATGTTCCTTATGAATTCTTTTCCCACCCGTATTCTCTTTGATACGGGAGCTTCGCATTCCTTTATTTTGTATGATTTTATGTCTAGACTCCAGCTCGTAGCTCAGCCATTAGACACCCCTTTATCAGTTTCTATCCCTTTAGGTGAGATATCGCTTCTGGAGAGCATTTGTAGGAGGTGTACTATCAGCTTAGATGAGTCAGAGTTCGTTGTTGATTTGATAGTGTTGCATATGTCCGAGTTCGATGTCATCCTTGGTATGGATTGGTTGTCTTCCTACCATGTTAGTATTGACTGCTTTACAAAGACAGTCAATTTGTGGGTGTCCGATGGGTCCGAGATGATTGTGGCAACCTCTCAGGGCAACCGTTTTACAGAGTCATTTCTGGCGTACATCGAGGAGGTGATGCGACAGGATCAGGGTGTTGATTTATTGGAGACTAGAGTTGTCTCAGAGTATCAGGATGTTTTTCAGGACATACCTGGACTACCTCCTGTGAGAGAGGTTGAGTTCTGTATTGAGTTACAGCCAGGCACAGCCCTGATATCCCATGCACCCTATCGCATGGCACCAGCTGAGATGAGGGAGCTTCAGACCCAGTTGGACGAGTTGTTAGCTCAGGGTTTTATTCGTCGGAGTCATTCTCCGTGGGACACACCGGTCCTCTTCATGAAGAAGAAGGACGATAGTATGAGATTGTGCATTGATTATAGAGAGTTGAACAAGGTCACTATCCGGAATAGGTACCCATTACCTAGGATTGATGACTTGTATGACCAGTTGCAGGAAGCGCGGTTCTTCTCGAAGATTGATCTTCGTTCTGGTTATCATCAGTTGCGGGTTCGGAAGATAGATATTCCCAAGACCACCTTTCTTACTCGATATGGATCTTTTGAGTTCATGGTCATGCTATTCGGACTGACCAATGCACCCACTGTATTCATGGACTTGATGAACCGGGTTTTTTGACCCTTCTTAGATCAGTTCGTGATTGTTTTTTATCGATGATATCCTCATTTATTCAAGATCGGAGGCAGACCACGAGCAGCACCTACGGTTAGCTTTGAGGACTCTGCAGGAGCATCAGTTATATGCCAAGTTTAGCAAGTATGAATTTTGGCTTTTAGAAGTCAGATTTCTCGGCCACATCATCAGTAGAAAGGGCATAGCAGTGGATCCAGCTAAGGTTAAAGTAGTTCTTGATTGGAAACTGCCAAAGACGGTGATAGAGATTCGTAGCTTCTTGGGCTTAGTCGGCTATTACAAGAAGTTCATCCAGGACTTCTCGAAGATTTCGACGCCACTTACACGCCTCACGAAGAAGGGTGTACAGTTCATTTGGAGTATGGAGTGCTAGAAGGCATTTGATATCTTAAAGACTAAGTTGACTTCAGCGCTAGTTTTAACTATTCCGAGCAGCGACATGATATTCGTCGTCTACACAGATGCATCTTTGGCAGGCTTAGGAGGTGTATTGATGCAGACTCAGAGAGTAGTGGCATATATATCTCGGTAGTTGAGGGTGCATGAGCAAAACTATCCCACTCATGACTTGGAGTTAGCAGCAGTGGTATTTGCACTAAAGTCATGGAGGCACTACTTATATGGAGTGCAGTTTGAGTTGTTCACAGACCACCAGAGTATGAAGTATCTTTTCTCTTAAAAGAAACTCAACCAGAGACAGAGAAGATGGATTGAGTTTATCAAGGACTACGAGTTCCCGATTCAGTATCATCCGGGAAAGGCGAACGTCGTAGCAGATGCTTTAAGAAGGAAGCGTCGACATCGGGTTTTAGTTTTGAGGTGTTCATTGTATAGAGATCTCCTTACTCTTAGCCAGTTTGATTTTAGACCCGAGATTGGTGGAACCAGTGCATTTTTGGGAGCTGTGTTAGTATAGCCATCTTGGAGTATCAGAGTTCTCAGAGCTTAGCTGGAAGATTCTTGGATTCAAATCCGAAAGGAGAAGATTTCCAAAGTGCCTAAAGCTTATTGGACCATTAGAGCAAATGGAGGCCTATGGATGAAGAGTAGATTGGTTATGCCATCTAGTGCCGAGCTGAAGAGGGAGTTATTTGATGAAACCCATCGTACTCGATGTACAGTGCATCCAGGAACCACCAATATGTACAAGGACCTGAAGAGACACTTTTGGTGGAGTGGTATACGTAAAGAGATTGCAGAGTATGTGGCTAAGTGTTTTACCTGTCAGCAGGTGAAGGCAGAGCATCAGAGACCAGCAGGAACACTTCAGCCTTTACCCATCCCAGAGTAGAAATGGGCGGATATTTCTATAGATTCCATTGTAGGGTTGCCGAAGTTGAAGAAGGGGAATGATTCTGTTTGGGTGATAGTGGACCGATTGACGAAGTCAGCACATTTTATTCTAGTGAGGACTACATATACAGCTGAGGCGTATGCGAGGATATTTATTAGGGAGATAGTTCGACTTCATAGAGTTCCTGATACGATTGTGTCGGATCGAGGTTCGGTGTTCACTTCACATTTTTGGAGGAGTTTCCAGGATTCCTTCGACAGCAGATTATCTTACAGCAGTGTATTCCACCCACAGACAGATGGTTAGACGGAGAGGGTGAATCAGGTGTTGGAAGACATATTGCGGGCTTGTGTCATAGACTTTCAAGGTAGCTGGGAGGAGCATATTCCACTGATAGAGTTCGTTTATAACAATAGTTATCAAGCGACGATCGGTATGGCCCCATATGAGGCATTGTACGGGAGACCTTGTAGATCACCAATATGTTGGGCAGAGCCAGAGGATAGCTTAATGCTTAGACCAGAGTTTGTGAGGCAGACTACTGAGAAGGTAGCATTGATCAAAGATAGGATTTTAGCCGCTCAGAGTCGACAAAAGAGCTATGCTGATAAAAGACGAAGACCCTTGGAGTTTCAGGTTGGAGATTCAGTTATGCTGAAGGTATCGCCTATGAAAGGCGTTCAGCAATTCGAGAGACTGGGAAAGCTTGCACCAAGGTATATTAGACCCTTCCGGATTTTAGAGCGCATTGGAACTGCGTCATACAGACTAGATCTTCCAGCATCGATATCTAGTATACACAATGTATTTTATGTTTCTATGCTCAAAAAACACTTGCATGATGAGGAGCAGCAACGAGTATTGGATACACCAGAGATTGAGCTTCAGGAGGATTTAACTACTATTGAGATTCTAGTTTGTATACTTCCCAGGGAGGACAAGAGGCTTAGAAACAAGGTAATTCCTTTGGTGAAAGTTCAGTGGAACCGAAGAGGCGTTGAGGAGATTTCTTAGGAGCGGGAAGAGGACATGCATCGCGACTATCCACATATGTTTGAGCAGGTAAATTAAATCTTTTTCTATGATTTATATATGGCTTATAGATTCAATTATGGCGATGTTTATACTTAACGCTAAAATGAGGGTATTACCACTTATCTCCTAAGTACTCGGAACATATGGTATATATATGAGGGGTTCCTTGTTTGGATTTTTTGCTCGATGTACTTATTCCATTTAGTTAAGGGTTAAGTGGGGGTATTTACATTTTAGAGGGTTAAGTGTAGATTTCGTATATGATTTTCGAGAGCACGAATATGCTACGCAGTGAGACTTCCTGCATCTATAGAGGAAGTGGATTGATTTATGTGTGTGAATATTTATGTGGTTATATTTAGATTTAACGCTAGAATAAGGATATTTTCACTTAATTCATAATCCTATGGAACACATGGTATATATATGGGAGGTTCCTTGTTTGGATTTTTCGCCCGACGTACTAGTTCTATTTGATTAAGGGTTGAGTGGGAATATAATCATCCTGGATTTGTTAAATATAAATATCACTATATGCTTGTCTAGGGTGAGATTATTTGTTTGAGTATGATTTCTAAATTTTGAGGACGAAATTCTTTTAACGGGGGAAGAATGTAAAACCCTGTATTTTTGTTAGAAGTATATGTGAATTAGTGATGATAGAAATTCTAATATGATTAATGACTTGAGATCATAGATACACCTGATAACAAGTTATCACTGGTGTAGGAGTGTATTTTTATAGAGTCTTGTGCATTGGTTTTGGCAATTTAGCAAAACATGCACGAATCTGGAAAATATCGGCTTAGTCGACTCATGAGTCGACTTATGAGTCGACTTACGGGCAGATTTCCAAATTCTTTTTCTTTTGCGGGTTTGGTTTGGTTTTGTTTCGGGTTTGACCGCTTATATAAAATCTATTCTACTCGAAACCAACCCAAAAGACCCATCAGAATCCTAGAGAAACCCTAGCCCCTCACTCCCCTCAAACCCTAGTTCGTTTTTCATGATTTTTGGGGATTTTCTGAGGATTTCAGCGGGTTTTGGCGAGGTGCAGCATATGGGATCTTTCTCTCTCGGATTCAGGAGTTTGTCAGCATATCAGAGGCGAGTAACATCTCGCTCAGCCCTACACCCATTGTTTGTATAGTTTTATTTGGTTTTATTTCGGATTTATTGAGCCTAAATCATTATTTTGCGTATAAAATATATCCCTATGGCATATGATGCAAGAAATCAGATGTTTCAGTTAATAAAAAACTCACCAACATTTTTTAAATGTAGATCCAGATCTTGATGCAAGAAATCAGATGTTTCAGTTAATAAAAAACTCACCAACATTTTTTAAATGTAGATCCAGATCTGGAGTTAGTTTTAAACATGGGTTTCTTGTGATTCTTTGTTTTTAATACGTTTTTAAACATGTATAAATATGATTGGGGTTCTAATGTAAACGATTACATGCAAATCTTTCGTTTCTGTTGATACACACGTGTTAGAATTAGATATATAATACTGGACATAATGAAGAGAACTTTAGATTTAAGTTTTTGTAGAAAATCAACGAAGACAGAAAACTAAAAAAATTTCTGCTCAGTCGACCAATGAGTCGACTTATCAGCCGACTTATGAGTCGACTGATGAGTCGACCAATGAGTCGACTGACTAGAAATTTCCAGCCTTCTTTCTTTTCTTCTGTTTTGGCTGGTCGACCAATGAGTCGACAAATCCTAGTCGACTAATGAGTCGACCGATGATCCCAGTCGACTCATGAGTCGACTGGCGAGGAAATTTCTAGTTTTTTCCTCCTTTTGGATCTATTTGGGTTGTTTCGTTTTAACCGAAACTGTTTTAGCATGTTTACTATTATTGCGTACATCTATATGAGCAAGGAGTCACCTCAGATATCTGATATTAGAATTTATGTTTATTTTGTATGTCTACACGTGAGACGATTTGCGGACACGAGTTTAGGGTTACATACCGAGACAAGTGAGGCATTAGGGTATAGGCATCTTTCATATATTTCATCTAGTCCATGTGTTAGGCTATTATGATGTGTAGTCCATGTGTTGGACATTTGTCACATTCAGTCCATGTGTTGGATAAATTTCATATGCAGTCCGTGTGTTGGGCATTCATTACATCTAGTTTTAGTCCATGTGTTGGACATCAGTTTAGACCTTGAAATTTACACCTATACTTTCATAGGCTAGACATGACACTTATATGGGTTGTGATATAACCTGGTATTTAAGTTCTGAGATGAGGTTGTCTTCTTTCATTACTATTCATGTGTTAGATTTTGGGTTTTTGTATTTAGGGATTTACAATTTGAGATACAAGGTATATACATGAGGGTTTCCTTGTTTGGATTATTTCGCTCGACATACCTATGCTCGTGTTGTAATTTCCTAAATACTAAAATCCTCTTATTCATAGGTATTTACAATTTGAGCTATATGGTATATGCATGAGGTTTCCTTGTTTGGATTATTTCGCTCGACGTACTTATGCTCATATTGTAATTACCTAAATAGGATCAGTGATTTTCTATATATATTATAACTGTATATTCTGTATACAATGAGCCCTTTTCCTTGGGGTTGGTTGTGATGTTGCTCGCTAGCGCTTTGATACTCGTTGTCCCTCCCCCTTTCAGGTAACGAGCCAGGAGCCCGGAGAGTCGCATGTTGATTGGGAGGCACTTTAGCTTTAACTATTCTATTATAGTTATACTTTTCTTTTGAACTCCACTGTAGGCTTTTGTTTAGACATTTTGAGAGTTTATTTCTAGAAGTTGTAAAGGTTGTGTGCCTTATTTCCTATTATTCAGACTTTATGTATTCGAGACTTGTTGAAACTTCAGTTTATTCATTTCAGGCATTGACTTCTATTTTCGTATGTTGGATGATGAAATATCAATTTGATCATTATCATTTCATCAGATATCTCTTGTATTTATCTTTTACTTGCTTTATACCTACACCTGTTATTGACTCTTCTAGAGAGATAGTAATTATGATGGTGAAACATGTTATTGCACGGTGTGGTGTATGGCAGGCTTGATATTCTTGGTTTCACCTTGTACTGTAGCCTTGCGTGAACCCAGGGGCGTCACATGTTTACAGTGTAGTTGACTACTACATAATATAGTCGACTACTCAGCTTTGAATTTGAATTTCAGACTTTTTATCGTTTACAGAGTAGTCGACTAATGACCAGTATAGTCGACTACTAGGAAAAATCCTGAATTTACAGAGTCTGTTTTAACTCAGTGTAGTCTACTACAACGACTACTAGTCGACTACAGTAATAGTTTTCTGACATTTTAAAATTTGAATTACTGACTGTTTATAGCCGTTTTGATCCGTTAATTGACTTTGAAAACTTGCTTTCAAGGGTTATAAATAGGTTATAAGTTCAGCAATTGTTATCAATCATTCCTATCCATAAGGTTCATTATTTGTACATTCTCAAGAGTTCAAAACATTCAGATTTTCACTAAGTGTTGAGAAAAAGCATTCTCTGAGTTAGATTTTGATCTTCATTCAATATACAACTTATTTAGGCAACTTCTAGAGATTAAAAACATTCCTTAGCCACTGTTACACATCACTACACATTCAAGGCTTATAGAAATCGAGTTGTTGATACAAGAAAATTATTCTCATGGGTGTGAGAGGTTTGATCTCTTGGTGAAGAGATTGCGTGCAATTTGCATGGTCTTACAAATTGGTCAAGTTTACTGTTTGATTTTGTAAGTTTTTCAAAATCATAGTGGAACTCTCAAGCGGGATTTGCTTGGGGACTGGATGTACACCTGAGAGGTGAAACCGTTATAAAATATTGTGTTTGCGATTGTGATTTTCTGTGGTTGTGTTATCTTTCTTGTAAATTATAATCTACTTTGCATAATTTAAAAAAAAATACTATTCACCCCCTAGTGTTTTTAGTATAATTGGATTAGATCCTACAATTGGTATCAGAGCAAGGTGAAGGATGACATTATCAAGTATAACAAATACATCACAATTCAAAGAGGGATATTCCACACAGCGACCACCTCTCTTTGACGGCACAAACTACAACTATTGGAAGTGTCGAATGAAGGTCTACCTCCAATCTCTTGGTTATGATCTATGAAACATCGTTGAGAATGAATTTACAAAGCCTACCAATCCTTATACTGAATGGATGGTTGTACAAAGGACTAACGTAAATCTGGACTCTAAGGCGATGAATGCACTGTTTTGTGCTTTGGACAAGAACGGATTCAATTGTGTGTCTACCTCTATAACAGCACATCAAATTTGGCACACTCTTGAGGTAACACATAAAGGAACTAATAAAGTTAAGGAAACTAAAATTTTTGTTCTTTTTCACAGATTTGAATTATTTAAGATGAAAAAGAATGAAACCATCACGGAGATGTTCACACGGTTCACTGATATTACTAACTTCTTAATCGGACTTGGCAAAGAATATACTCAAGTTGAGATGGTAAGAAAAATTCTAAGAGCACAAACTCCGAAATGGGAGAAAAAGATTACAACGATAGAAGAAGCAAACGATCTATCAACTCTCACCGTAGAAAATCTCATTGGAAACTTGATGGCTTATGAAGTTCAAATTGAAGATCGAAAGAAGGATGATGAACCAAAGAAGAAAAAGATACTTGCCCTCATTGCATCCTCCGACACCGATGAATCCGATAAAGATGATGAGGATATTACAATGATTACTAAGAAAAGCAAATGATTTCTTAAGAAAAGTAAGTTTAAGTCAAATAAATTTAAGAATACTAATGACTCTTCTTTGTGTTTCAATTGTAATAAGCCAGATCATATAAAGAAGGATTGTCCGCTACTCAAGTCAAAGTCAAAGACCACAAATTCTAATAATTCCAACAACTTCAAGAAGAAGAAGAAGAAGACAATGGCGGTAACTTGGGATGATAGTGACAATTCATCCTCTTCAGACGAAGAAGAAGAAAGAGAAGAATCAACCCACATGTGTTTCATGACACAAGATGAAGTAAATGATTCTTTAGACAATTGAGAACTTTTAGATGCTTTTAATGAACTTTACATTAAATTTAAAGATTTAAATGCTAATTATAAGATATTAAAAAGTGAAAATGATAAATTGAACTTAGAATTAGTTTCATCAAATTCTTCACAAATTGAAGAACTAAAGGAATTAAATGATAAATTATTTTCTGAAAATAGATTATTAACTGAAAATAATATATATCTTAAATCTGAATGTAATGTTATGAAAAATAAAATTTTAGATTTATATTAGAGTATGTCTTTACTTAAAATTAAATATGAAGAATTATTCTTAAATGTAAATAAGTTTAATAAAGGAAAAGAAGACTTAAATGATTTGTTATCTTCTCAAAAGTCTTCTAGTCAAAGATTTGGTTTAGGATATGTTCATAATAAGTATAAAAATGTTTCAAGTACAAATCTTATATCATCTTCTATGAATAACAAAGTTAGAAAATTTCATGCACCTTTAACGAGGAATGTTAATACTAAAAATAATAATGCTTTATCTATATTCATTTGGGTGCCTAAAAATGTTAGCATAAATGAAAGAAATATTTATATTTCAAACTTTAAGAAACACATATATAATTCAACTAATTATATTTATAAAGGGAAACCAAATTCCAAGTGGATTTGGTCTCCTAAGTGCTAATCCAATGGACCCAACATAAAAGGGTACCAAAGCTTAAATGTCTATTTTTCAGGTACCTTAAAAAGAAAAGTGGATACTAGGTAGTGGATGTTCCAAACACATGATCGGAAACTCTTAAATGTTATCTTCAATTCAATACAAAGAGGGAGCACAGTTACATTTGGAGATAAAAACAAAGGTCAAGTTATAGGTTTTAAAACAGTAGGTAACATTAACAAATCTCTAATAGGTAATGTTTTATTAGTAGATGGTTTAAAATATAATCTTCTAAGTATAAGTCAACTATGTGATAAAAAAAACTTTAAAATCATATTTGAAAAAGATTCATGTCTTATATATGATCAATATTTATTAAATATCTTGTTTAAAGGTTTTAGAAAGAAGGATATATATGTTTTATCCATGAGTTTGTATTCAAATGAACATTGTTTAGTTGCATCAATAAATAATACATTATTATGGCATAGAAGATGTGGACATATTAATTTGAAAAATATATCACGTATTTCTAAAAATAATTTAGTAAATGATTTACCTAAAATTTTAAATAAGAAAAATTATTTTTGTGACGCATGTAAACAAGGAAAAATGCATAAATCTTCTTTCAAATCTAAAGATGTTGTTTCTACAAGTAGACCATTAGAATTATTATATATGAATCTATTTGGTCCTTCTAGAATTGCATCTTTAAATGGAAGTAGATATGCATTTGTCATTATTGATGATTATTCAAGATTTACATGGGTTATGTTTTTAAAACATAAAAATGATACTTTTAATGAGTTTTCTATATTTTGTAAAAAGATATAAAATCAAAAATCCACTACTATTGTCATTATTAGAAGTGATCATGGTGGTGAGTTTGAAAATGAATTATTTTGATATTTTTGTAATAACAATGGTATTTCACATGAATTTTTATTTCCTTACACTCCACAACAAAATGGAATTGTTGAAAAAAATAGAACTTTACAAGAATGTGCTAGAATAATGTTAGTTGAGTCTAATCTACCTAAGTATTTTTGGGCAGAAGCAATTAATACAGCATGTTATGTTCAAAATAGAATTTTATTAAGACCTATTTTAAATAAAACAAGTTTTGAATTATTTTACATGTTATGTTCAAAATAGAATTTTATTAAGACCTATTTTAAATAAAACAAGTTTTGAATTATTTTACAATTGCATTCCTAAAGTTTCATATTTTATTAAGACCTATTTTAAATAAAACAAGTTTTGAATTATTTTACAATTGCATTCCTAAAGTTTCATATTTTAAAGTATTTGGATGTAAATGCTATATATTAAATACAAAACAAAAATTAGATAGTTTGATTCTAAATCATATGAAGGAATTTTTCTAGGTTATTCTATGCACAATAAATCTTATAGAATTTATAATAAAAAGATTTCTACAATAGAAGAATCCTTGCATGTTTCTGTTTATGAATCTTATTCAAATTCTAATATTAATGATAATAACCATGATGATGATGATATTATTAATCAACCACCCCCTATTGTTGACGATAATCCTAATGATACTAATGTTTTACCTAAAGCATATGTAGATGTTACGAATCATCTACATGATTTGATTATAGGTGATATTTCTAAAGGTGTTCAAACTAGATCACAAGGGATTTATATACCCATGTTGCATTTGTTTCAACAATTGAACCTAAAAATATTAAAGAAACATGTAAAGATAATTTTTGGAAAATTTCTATGCAAGAGAAACTCAATCAATTTACAAGAAATAACATTTGGGATCTTGTACCTAGACCTCAAGATAAATTCATTATAAGAACCAAATGGATTTTTCGAAACAAATTGGATGAATCTGGACAAGTTATTAGAAACAAAGCCAGATTGGTTGCACAAGGTCATAATCAAGAAGAAGGTATTGATTATGATGAAACCTATGCACCGGTTGCTCGTTTAGAATCTATAAAAATTTTACTTGTATTTGGATATTTTATGGATTTTAAATTATATCAATGGATGTTAAAGGCGCATTTTTAAATGGCTTTATCAAAGAAGAAGTTTTTGTAGAACAACCTCCTGGATTTGAACATGAAAGTTTTCCAAATCATGTTTCAAACTTAAGAAAGCTTTATATGATCTTAAACAAGCACCCCGTGCTTGGTATGATAGATTAAAAAAGTTTCTTTTAACTTCCAGTTTTGAAATTGGTAAAGTGGATTCTACACTATTTATAAAGGAAATAAATAAAGATATATTATTAATTCAAATATATTTAGATGATATAATATTTGATTCTACTAACAATGATCTTTGTCAATAGTTTGCTAAGACTATGCAGGAATATGAAATGAGTCACATGGGTGAACTCAATTTCTTCCTTGGACTACAAATTAAACAATTGAAGGAAGGAATATTCATCAACAAAAGCAAGTATGCTAAATAATTAATCAAACTTTGGAATGAAAAATACTACAAGCAAACCGACGTCAATGAGTATAACTATATCACTTGACAAAGATAAAAATGGTAAGAATGTGAAAAGCTATACCGATGTATGATTGGATCACTTCTTTACATTACAGCAAATAGACCCGATATTATGTTTAGTGTTTGTTTATGTGTAAGATTTTAGTCTAGTCCTAAAGAATCACACCTTAAAGCTATGAAAAGAATTTTTAGATATCTTAAAAATACTACATATTATGGTTTATTTTATCCTAAGAATAGCACATTTAATTTATTATCATATAGTGACGCTGATTTTGCCGGATGCAAATCCGATAGGAAAAGTACAAGTGATACATATCATTTCTTAGGATATTCATTTGTATCTTGGTTTAGTAAAAAGCAAAATTTAGTGTCATTATCAACGACTGAAGTAGAATATATTGCTGCTAGTCTTGCTTGTGCTCAAGTTTTATGGATGAAACAAACATTATATGATTATGGTATAGTTTATCTCACATCATCCATAATGTGTGATAATACTAGTACCATTAATTTATCTAAAAATCCTATTCAACATTCATGAACAAAACATATTGATATTAAATATTAATTTTTACGTGATCATGTGCTAAAAGGTGATATTTCTTTAGATTTTATTTCAACCGATAAACAAATTACAGATATATTAACAAAACTATTAAAAAAAGAAATATATGTTAAATTAAGAAGAGAATTAGGAATATTTTCTTTAGAAGATTTAAATTAAGTTTTAAAATCAATACATATGCATTTTCAGCCTTAATAGTCGACTAATCAAGTCAGTAGTCGACTACATGCATAGACGTTGCATATATCATATTCAGTTAATTTCTTAGTAGTTGATTAATAGGATGAGTAGTCGACTAATAAGAAGTAAAATCAAAAAAACTGCTCTCTGTCGATTACAGCGTAGTCGACTACAAAACCTGCACTTTTCTTTTTACACTAATTTTGGCATATTAGATCCTATATCTACCAAACCCAAAACCCAATACCCGTTAAATTTAAGTGAATTTGATCTCAACCATTCATTTTTTACCAGATGAATCATGACCCCATATTAAATTTTACTTAGATTAAATTTCAACCTTTTATTTGATTTTTTTGATCAAATCTTAGCCACTCATTTATAACTAAAGGAAACTATCCTAACTCCTCCATCTTCACATTTTTTTTCACTCCCCAAAACCGAATGAACCCTCACTCTCATCAGTTCATCCATTCTTAAGGTCAGAGCATCTTCATCTTTCATTTTTTTCTCAAATATTTCATTAAATTTCTTGTCTACTTTGAGTTTTCTAGTCTTAGTAGTCGACTACAGCTTCAATTAGCCGACTACATCTACGGTTTCAACAGTTTGGTAAGCTCTCTTCCCCTATTCCATTTCCAATTTTGAAATTGAATAATGTCAAAATCAAAGAGGCCTAGGTCTGGTCCATTAGGCCTAGGTCTGGTCCATTAAATGTAGTTGAAGATTATTCAATTTATCTTAAAAACTCCTCTTTGCTTGCCCAATTTAAGGAATTTCAATCTTTTGAAATTATACCCGGTAGATTTGTCAAATTTGATGATTTCAT